GCAGATTGAATTGATGGCCTAACATACTTGATCACATTTTTTAATCCTATTGAATAATAATGCATAGCCTACTGTATAACAGGTATAAAGATAAAAAAATAAGAGATTGAAATTAGAGGCATAAACCCACAAGACAAGAAAAAAAAAAAAAAGTAACTTTATAATTACAAAATTCAAAAAATTCCCTTCAGATCCCTGAGTTCTGCTAGAAGATCAAGATGTTAGTGGCAATTTTTCCTGGATTTGTGAGTGTGGAGAAAGCTATATGACATTCTGCATGGCTTACTATTACAATTTCTCTACTTTTCTTTGTTATCTTTATGCAGAGAAATCTTAAAGGCTGATATTACATTCTTCCATTCAGAAAGGTCACTTTGAGGCAGTTTTATTACTTATTTCATTGTATGATTATTTAATCATAAGCACTATTTACCCCCCCCCTTCTTGTTTGCCTTCACTTGCTTAATTCATAGTACTAAAAAAATTGCTATGTTAACTTGAGAAATTTCAGCTGTTTTCCCAAACTTTGTTGTTTTGTCTAGCCCTTCTCATCTTTCTCGTAAAATGAAAATATTCAATAAAATCTTCAGGAAATAATCAAATTCATATGTTTTTTAAGACATGATGGCATAAAAGAAAACTGCTGAAGTAACACTCTCTCCTTTCCTTTCAACATTCAAAAGTATTTAAATGTATTTATGCAGCATCTCCTCCATAAATGTTCTTATTTTAAGTTGAAAACAGGTCTTTCTGAATGGCTAAGTTTGTAATTTGTGTGCCAGATTTTAAAAAATGCCCGAGTAACCACAGCTGTGCTGAAGCTGATGAGAAACAGAAACAATCAACATTGCATAATGCAGTGTTGTACAGAAATACCTAAGCTAACTCATTTAGCATTTGCTTGGGCCTGGAAATGAGTTGTGTTGACACAGTGCTCCACTGAGGTGAATTCACCCTGCCTGAGAGTGTGCTAGCATGCTCAAACAGCTTCCTTATCCAAAGCTGTGCTCTGCAGAGTTTGTGTGGTTTCCCTCCGCGGCACAGCACAAGGCTGGCTGTGTATACTCCAGAGGCCCCCGCACTGTGTAGTGTCTGCTTGGGCTGTGCTGATTTCAGCAGGTATGCAAATACATGCAGCAGTCGGCATTCACGGTGCGTAACACAGGCTGGGACCTGCCATGGACGCGTGCATTCCCTTTTCAGGCACATTTCCGTGATCCCTTTTCAGAGGCTTTCCCATGTTTGAGAGCTCTGTTCTAGCCATCTGAGCAATACAGTGTCCTGCTTCAGCAAAATGATCGACATCCATTGTGGCTGGAAACCAAGTTAGACAGACTTGTCTCCAAGACAAGTCTGTCTAACAGAGAACACATTATTAGCCACGATCAGCAAGTGTGATATTGGTGAGGGTGTTTTTAAGGGTTTCTGTTTCTCTGAAAAGACTAAGTAATTTAGCATATACTCTAGAGGTAGCTTTTCAGTGAGAATACAACTAGTTAAGAAAGTCATACTGACTGAAATCACCTAAGCATGTTAGTACTGCCCCAAAGCTCTCTTACAATACTCGTTTCCTCAAAAAGTTTATTAATGGAACAAAATATTTTCAGTAAAGGTTTTTTATTATTTTACTGCATCTAAATCATTAAATGGAGTTTGCAGGAAATTAATAGGGAAATACTGAAAGTAATTTTCTATTAAGTCTATGAAGTCTGAGGCTCTGATTTGCTTGCAGTGAAGCTGATGGGAAAACACCCAATGGGAACAGGATTAGGCCCCTCATCTCTAAAGAGTCAAAGTCTAATTGCTGTCATGAAATGACAGAAAGTACCTGTTGGTGATATGTAAAAAAGCTCCCACAAATGAAAACCCCTCTATTCTAAACACAGAAACAATCGCTAAAGTGATATGAAGCAGAAAACAACTGACTGCATTTAATGACTGACCACCGCAGCACGTTTACAGTAACACAGAATGCAGCCCTTGTTCTAGAAAGAGCATATGTTGGTACTACAGCAAACGCTTTCGCTGCAGCGCTGCACAGCTGCAGTCACGTTACTGGCTTGGGTGTAAGTTACAGTCTGACAAGGGCAGTGCACACAGCCTGCTGCATTGGACAAAACCTGCTCAGGAGAAAGGGAGATGGCTCACCTCGCTCATGAGATACCGACACTCAAGCTAGACATTTGGAAAGTCTGTCAGCAATATGCAAGACCAGCAGCTGACGGCATACCTTACAGGTCTGTCCATACAGACATGTGGACAAAACTACATGTGCATAGGTCCTGGTAGAAGCAAATGCTCTGCACGCGCACGTCTTAAAGTATTAAATGGCAGCTGGCCAAATTCTCATGTACATACATCCAAAAATCCAAAGCTGAAGGTGGTCAAGATTCACACCAATACTGTGTCAAGGAAAAAAGTACGCCATTTCAGTTTTACACTATTGTGTAATTACGAGATTATATGTGTGTCATATCAGTAACCTTGCAAAGAGGTACTTCATGATACATGATGCCTTTTCTCTAAGCATTGGGAGGATAAAGGGATAAAAATAAATTACAAAACAAATATCGTATGTTCATATTGTTGAGGTTAATAGAGGCAGTGAGGTCAAATGATCTGAGAGCCAAAATACACAACACACAGCGTACAAGATCCTGACTTCCCTTCTCATTTCCTAAATACTGCACTAGCAAAGCTTTATCATACATTCGAGTACAATAGTTTAAAAATTAACCAGAGACATTTTTCTTACACTTGCAATTCATGCATTAAAAAAAAATCCCATCTACCTGTTAAAGGGAACAGGAAAAATCAGAGTATTTCCTCTCATAAGAGTCAGCAACAATCTACTGTGTCCTACTCAGCCTGAAATTTGCTGATAGAAATTTCAGCAAGCTCTGCTTTGCTAGAACAAAGAGTAGTGAAGACAAATATTTTGGAGATTTTTTTTGTGCATGTGTAAGAATGTATGCATATGGTAAAGTGGGCTATGAATTCAGTGAGAGAATTTTGACCTTGTAATCACTTCTTTTTTGGGTCAGACAAACCAAAGAGATGTATGCAGAGAGCAGACTATTTTGAAAGCATACTAAAAAAACCCCACTATACGTATTTTTTTAAAATTTCATGGGATTTTAAGATACTAAACTAAAATGCAGTATGAGAGATGCACTGTTAAACTAGTTTCAGGTGTCTGTAAATGAAAGGCTGTTAGCACAGCAAGCTGGGCTCAAGACAGTTTTAAATTCAAGACAGTTTTTTTAACTCAAGACAGTTTTAACTATTATTACATACAAAATGAACATGCTCACTGGCATGCGTACCTGAACACGTCTACTTTTAATGGAAACAAAGGAATTCATTTTGGTTACTTCTGGAATTACTGACCAAAACAACAAAGCAAGAATGGCCACACAGTTAATGAGGCCAACACAGTATTTGTTAATCACAACCAACCCATTCTGAAAGAGATATTATGATTCCTGCATTAATGTGTATGTCAGGCTCTAGCTGTTGGAGAATGGGACAAAAGCCACATTATCCTGCATCTGTGTCCTGCAGGAATGAAAAAAAAAATGCTGCTGCTTGAGTAAGCATCATCTCAGATGCTGCCCGACACAGAACTTTTACTAAACAAATGCCTAGCTTCATATAGCAATTGTTACTTTGGTATTAACAAGGAATATACTGTTTTCATGTAGCCCAGTGTAGTCTACTAATGACTAGGTCATCACTGTCCAAAGACCAGCAAGTATTCTACAGAAATTAAGCTTATTTTATTTTTGGATAGGAAGGCTTTTAAATCAAATCTAGTCTCCAGTCGACACCTTGCTGGCAATCCAACACGAAGGGAAAACAAAGAGCAGACAAAAAGCTGCAAAAATGAAAAATACATTGTTATACTAACAGTAATCTTTCAGGAAAGGAAGAACACTTGCTTAGAAAAGCATTAGTTCCACTTATTCTGAATAAGGAAAGGGCTTGGAAAAAGTAAGAATCACTGTATCTTAGATTTTCAGAAATCAGTCTTCTGCTACAGAAGCAACAGTAATTACTGGCTTCCTGTTGAGCTATTATGATGTGGAGATTATGTTACTGCAGACAGTAAGAAATTATTCAAGTTTCATATTAGCTGCATTTACAACCATGCAGAGAATTTGGTATTAAGCTTAAAACCATTCTCTTCAAAACATGTCTTAAGAATTTATTATGCAGAACACCTACAGAAAACTTTATTTTTCAATTAGAGTGTCAATTCATCTCAGTAACAGGAATAAAAAAACCTAAAATTTTTTTTATATTTTACATGATGTGTTTTCAATGACATTAGGAACATTACATTAAATAAATATAAAAGTTGTATTGTATTGTCCTCTTACCACATCGTCTTTGTTACACATTTCATGTGTTACCATGAGCCACGTGCAGTTTTTCTTCTGGATCTCATAGCTGTTTATATCCTAGTAATGAAGAGAAACAATTAAACTAGCGCTACAGACAGGTGATCTTTGATCTTGTGCTTGTATAAAAAAATGGTCCTTCAGCATAAAAAATGTCACTTTTAAAAAAGCACGTTTTCTTAACATACGAGAATATATTTACATAAAAGTAGTTTAAAACTGACTTACGTATGCTTATATATATTCTCAGTCAGATAAAGCTGTAAGACTGAAGTCTAGCATGGGAAAGATTTGTGTCCCAGCAACTTATATGAAAAACTGGAGTAGAGACGGCGAACCACTGGACGCTGCTTCCAGCACCAGCAGCCTTCTACCGCACCGCACACCACAGCCCTCCACGTCAAACGGATTTGCTTCTGGGGCTCGCAAACCGCCTGCCCAGCCCGCTCCCGCTGCCGAGGCCGCCAAGCCCGCCGCCGGCGAGCGGCCCCCCCGCCCCGCGCCGAGGGGA